CACCCCCTGTTCCGGCAGAGATCTCGGATAACGGAGGCGTTAGGGTTTGGAGTCAACCAAGAATGTGTGCCTCACTCTCCTTCCCCAACGGTCGGTGGCAGGCGTGGGAGACTGGTACTTTGGGCCCCCGAACCCGCCCCTAGACAGGGAAAGCGCTGAGTCATTCCTGCTGGGAGCGTTGGATGCGGGCGGGGCTCCGGCCAGATCCCCTCCTCTCTCGCGTCCCCTCACCCCCGACCCTCTCTGACTCTCGCGAGAGCCCTACAGGCTATAAAGGCAGCGCAGGGAGCGCGCGCGCTTCGCGAGTCTTCTTCCTGATTGACTGGTCTTACCACTTTTGCTTCAGTGCTGGTGAGTATGTAGGCAGCGCGGCCTTGGCAAGCTAAGCGCCCCACGTCCCGCAGGTCGCCTTTTACTCCTCTTCCCCGCCCCCCCCGGCTCAACTTGGGGTGCTGTGACCCGGGAGGCGTGCGGGCGTGGCCTGTAGCCGAAGAGTGGTCAGGCGGTTCGCGCACCCTAATGTGGGCCCACCTGTGGATCCTGGGGTCTGGGTGAGCCCCGAGGCTAAAGTCGGCTCGAGTCTCCTCATTCCCCGGCAACCCAGGCAGAGGGCGCTGATTGGCTTGGAGGGGCGGGCTGGTGATGGTGGTGGGGTCCCTTGGATTAGTCTGCTGGGCGGTTTGAGAAGCTTCTAGAAGGACCCGGAAACTGACCTGAGGCCATCCCTCTGTCATGTGGTAGGTGTAAGGGCTGTTCCCGGTGTTGGGCCGTTACTAGCTGTGAAGCTTCGGATATTAAGATTCTTCTTCCCCGCCTTTATTTTTCCATCTGCAGAATGGGGTTTGTGGTGATCTCAAATGCCCTCGGTGAAAATTTCTGTCTGCTTGTGGTTTCCGAAGTGCTAGGGTGGGAGTGGCAAGAGGGTACATTAAGTGGGACTCGAGGGCGTGGTTTTCACCCGGGAAGTTCTTGGGCAGGTCCGAGGAGTCCCACACGGGCTGGAAGTTCAACCATTTTTTCCCAATTGGTCGGGCTTTTGTGGACGTCGGGGCCACCTTGAAGAGCAGGTTTGGACGAGGTCATTTATGTTAGGGTCGCCAAGTGCATCGTCCCTTACTGGTGTGTGTGTGTGTTTTTTGTTTTTTGTTTTGTATTAAAGGTATTAAGGAGTAAAAAGTTTGAGATGATCAGTGCTCACAGCGTTTCTTTTGGTTGTGGTAGTATTAACCTAAACCTTTGGTACTTGAAAATTAGCTTCTTGGGGCCTTCAAACCGATGGCTTACTGGGCCTAAATCTTGACTCCTTGGTGTTGACCTGTGTAAATCCAATGTAACATTGCTGTTTAGCGATAAATTGACTCGTGTACTTATTGCTCCGGGATTGTTGCTCTGAGGTCAGAAACCCATTTTTGAAAGGGCTTCTGGGGCTTAAACAGAAGTCCTAAAACTTTGAAACTGAGCAGATGCCAGAATCCTGGTCTTGCCTTTGAAAAATTTGGATTGGCTTTAGGGTATGTGTTCTTGGCAAATCTACCTGAAGAATGTCAAGTCTGCTTCCCACATTATGAACACAGATGGAGGTGCAGTACAGGGAAAGGGCAACGTTACCTGCTTTTGGGAGTCAGACACTCTGGCATTGTGCATTTGGGTTCAGGTTTGAGAGTCTCCAACCCCTTCTCCCCTTTATGCTTCTGCATAATAAAAATATAGAGGAGAATGCCGTTGCACAAATGATGGTTCAGAAAAAGTAATAGAGGTTACTTTAATTTATTTTTTTAAATATATCTTTCTTGATTTCGGGGAGAGAGAGAGAGATAGAAACATGTGATGAGAGAGTCATTGATTGGCTGCCTCCTGCACCCTCCGACTGGACTGAGCCCACAATCCAGGTATGTGCCCTGACCAGGAATCGAACCGCAATCTCTAGGATCATAGGTCAATGCTTAACCAACCCCTGAGCCACGCCAGTAGCTGTTTTTAAATGAAAACAAAAGTTGATATTTAGAGATGTGTAATACTGGTTTTCTTTCAAAAATTGGAAAGCTAGGCTTATACTTCTTACTAATATAAAAGTTAATGTATATATTCAGGGTCACTAGACAAATCCTTTTTGTTCTATAGCTAACGCTAAGTAGATGAAGGATACTGGTTGTGTAGAAAAAAAGGCTTGTTTCAAATTCGTTTCCTCTTTTATCTTTTCCAACTGATAGCAAGATGTCGTCAGGAAATGCTAAAATTGGGCACCCTGCCCCCAACTTCAAAGCCACAGCCGTTATGCCAGATGGTCAGTTCAAAGACATCAGCCTATCTGACTACAAAGGTAAGAGGAATTATATTAGGTTCATTGAAATGCAGTTATTTTGCTATCTAGGGATGGCTTGTTCGATTTTTGTATCTCTGTGTTTGATTGTAAAATGATTTATGTCTCCTAGGTCAAGGTGTTTAGGGCGGTAGGCTGTTACCTTCAAGTTCAAGTGAAGTGGTGATTATCAGCAGTTACCACAGGGTAGTTATCCTAGGTCCAGACTATTCTGGAGAAAGCACATGCTTCATTATGCCTTATTACTAATATATTAGCTCAGTTGTCTTCTCAGCACTCCTCTATTGTGTTATTGGAGATAGTCTCATTATTTCATTGTAAGAGTTCTTCAACAATTTCAAGTGTCAGAGCTCATATTTGGAGCTGTGACACTGCTTTTCAGTTTATGAAATATGTGTCATAGCTGCTGTATTATTAGAGGGTTTAGGCACATTCCCTTGACTGTTTTGCCCCCAGAGGAGAGTTAATGTCATAGTTGGAACAACTCTCCTTTCTGTTACAGTTTCATGCAGACACTAGAGTTCTAATAAGGCTCCTCTTTACCTCATGGTGGGAGCAGCTGAGTCTTTTGGGACAATTGAATGCAAACCTCAAACTCAAGTGTCAAGTATTTTTTGTGTGTGATGTGTAGTAATCAGTTCCTGGAGTCAGCTTTTGGATAGAACATGTGACTAGGTTTCCTAACACACTTGTTGGTTGGAATGAGAGCAGGTTAGTGGACCCTATGGAGGGAAGCTTCTGGCAAACAAGGTAAGTAGGATCATAGGGAGGTGACCCTGGCCCAAGGATAAAGGCAGGATGTTTAGGAAGAACTGCTCTCTGCCCTACAGGGCTTGGCCTGCTGGGGCTTCAAAGTGCTTGTTTGACAGAGCCCTGGAGAGGTTATTTAGAGGAGTTTCTAGTGATTCTAATTTTCACAGTGAATGTCAAAGGAGCAACTTGTTTTGACTCTCAAGCATTGCTGCTGCCTGGAAGCGAGTACTTGAAAACTGTTCTAATAGCTCAGCCCATAAGGCGTGAGAGGCTACCTGGCCAGTTGAAGATCTACTCAATTGGTAATCTTAGTGGCTTCAGTAAAATTCTAACTAGAAGTCCTGTTTCCTACCAGGATTTTTGAAATGTTTCCCATATAAAATTTTTCTTATCAGGCTTGTTAGGAATATATTTGTGGTGATTCAGGTAATCACTTAAACCATACCCATTCCATTACTGTGGTTCATTGTGAAAAGTGCAAAGGCTCTGACTTCCTTTTATTGGTCTTTTATTACCCGCAGCAGAGAATTCAGCATTTCAGCTTTTTATTGGGCACTGATTATAAGCGTTGGCATTGGGCTATCCTGTAGATAACTGCATTCTTGCTTTTGCTTTTCTTCATTGGAGAACTTGGTGTCTGTGCTAATTTTAACTACCCAGAGAAGATCAAAATTAGACTGAACAGTGTTCTGTAGTTGGCAGCTAATATGGAGGCAGGAAAATAAAGCATGGGCTGGAAGGAACTTTTCCATGCAGGTTCTCCTGCAAAAGGTTTTGAAAGTAGTTGCCAAGAGACACCTGTGTTTGAGCATCTTGGCATCTATCAATTGTGTCTGGTATCAACTTAAAAAGCCTCTTTTATCATAGGGATATCCATTTAGTTTTCTGTTCTCTATAAAGCAAGAATGTCTGTTTCAAAGGCTAACTTGGGGCTCCTTTTTTTTTTCCAGGAAAATATGTGGTGTTCTTCTTTTACCCTCTTGACTTTACCTTTGTGTGCCCCACGGAGATCATTGCTTTCAGTGATAGGGCAGAAGAGTTTAAGAAACTGAATTGCCAAGTGATTGGTGCTTCCGTGGATTCTCACTTCTGTCATTTGGCATGGTAAATCTGTTGGTCCATTTGTCATATGGACATTTTTTTTTAATCCTCACCTGAGGATATTTTTTTCCCATTGCTTTTTTAGAGAGTGGAAGGGAGTGGTATAGGGGAGGGGGAAGGAGAGAGAGAGAGAAACATTGATGATTGGTTGTCCTCACATGTGCCCCGACTGGTGGGGGGGATTGAACCTGCAACCAAGGTACTGCCCTTGACTGGAAATTGAACCTGTGACCCTTTGGTGCACAGGCCGCTGCTCTAACCACTGAGTGACCGACCAGGGCTGGCATATGGAGTTTTTAACTAAGCAGGAACTGGGACTTGAAGGCTTTGGCAATAGACTTTCTCAAGTATTGTCTTCTGGCTCCTCATGGAAGGGAGTGCAAAGGGTCTGAGTTCCTTTGTTTCTTTCTTATTAACTTAACAGCAGAGGAAAAGCAGCTTGGGTTGTAGCTGGTGACCTTAACTGTCCTTAGCCATTCACTTTACTGCTGGAAAAGTTTTTGGGGGAGTGAGGTTAGGAATGTTGGAAAGGGGGAAGGAGGGTATAGATACAGTTAATGTATTTGTTACACAAGAGCTTCAATGAATGTGATTTATGTGTTTGCCTTTTGCTGTAGGATCAACACACCCAAAAAACAAGGAGGACTGGGACCCATGAACATTCCGTTGGTGTCAGACCCCAAGCGTGCCATTGCTCAGGACTATGGAGTCTTAAAGGCTGATGAAGGCATCTCATTCAGGTATATACTGGCAGGGGGACGGAGCTAACATTCATAGGAAAAGATGAGGAAGAGCTCTGATCCGTATAGATTCCTTTCTCATTTCACTTTTTTAATCAGTTTTATTAAGAAATAATTGATACACATCCTTGTATTAAGTTGATGGTCTCATTTTGTTTTTATATACATATAATCTTTTTAAAATGTTTTTATTGATTTCAGAGAAAGGAAGGGAGAGGAAGAGAAAGATAGAAACATCAATGATGAGAGTCATTGATTGGCTACCTCCTGCATGCCCCCTACTGGAGATCGAGCCCAAAACCTAGGCATGTGTCCTGATTGGGAATCTAACTGTAACCTCCTGGTTCATGGGTCGACACTTGAGGCTCAGTCACTGAGCCACACCAGCTGGGCCTGTTTCATTCTATTTTTTTCTTCTAAAATATATCTTTATTGATTTCAGAGAGAGGAAAGGAGAGGGAGAGAGAGACAGGCAGAAACATCAGTGATGAGAGAGTCATTGGGGATCGAGCCCGCAGCCCGGGCATGTGCTCTGACCGGGAATCGAACCTCGATCTCCTGGATCCTAGGTTGACGCTCAACTGCTGAGCCACTTCTGGCTGGGCTTTTAAAAAAAATTTTAAATATGTTTTTATTGATTTTAGAGAGTGAGGAAGGGAGAGGAATAGAGAGAGAAGCATCGATTGGCTTGCCTTCCTCATGCCCCCTACTGGGGATTGAACCTGCCACCCAGGCATATGCCCTGACTGAGAACTGAACCGGTGACCTCTTGGTTCATGGGTTTGATGCTCAACACTGAGCAACACCAGCCAGGCGTGTTTCATTCTTTAGACAGGGGCATCCTCACTAAGGGCAAGGCCTGTGCAAGTCTGGGAGACCAGCCCATTTCCATTGCTTCCCTATTCTAACAATCCAGTTTTTAATTTTTTTAAATTTATTAATTTTAGAAACATCGATTTGTTGTTCCACTTATTTACGCATTTATTGGTTGCTTCTTGTATGTGCCCTGGCTAGGAATTGAACCCACAACCTTGGCGTATTGGGAAAACACTCTAACTGCCTAACCAGTTTTTAAACCTGTACTGCCTCTTTCTCAAAACTTCAATCTCTTCTTTCCAGGGGCCTCTTTATCATTGATGATAAAGGTATCCTTCGCCAGATCACTGTAAACGACCTTCCTGTTGGCCGCTCTGTGGATGAGACTCTGAGACTTGTTCAGGCTTTCCAGTTCACTGATAAACATGGGGAAGGTAATTCAGACTGCCTGGTGACAACGCAACAGAATGGTGGTCGGGTGGGAAAGGTGTGGTAGGAACCAAGTCGACCAAACAAGGAGGAGGGTGATTATGTCTCTTTAAGAAATTGAAGTTTCTGGAGTATGGTGGGGTTGTGGGGGTGGGATAATAGGAAAACTTGGAGAGGAGAATATAAAGGCTTTTTATTCCAACTGCATATTCTCAGCTTCTGCCCTGCTCATTTAGAATGACTCACTACCGCAGATTTAACTTATTAAAGGAGTGTAGGAGGATCTCATAGGTGTGTAAGGGCAAAACGAAAGGTCAAGAATCACATCTAGAGATAAAGCAGCTGTTCTTTTTTAAAAAAATACATTTTTATTGGTTCCCTAGAGAGGAAGGGGGAGGGAGAGAGAGAAACATCAGTAATGAGAGAGTCATTGATTGGCTGCCTCCTGCTCGCCCCCTACCAGGGATCAGGCCCGCAACCCAGGCATGTGCCATAATCGGGAGTGGAACTGAAATCTCCTGGATCCTAGGTCAATGTTCAACCACTAAGCCACGCCGGCCGGGCTATGACCAGTTTTTAAATTTGGAAAATAAAGTAGGACTAATACAACTAAAGACAGTAGGCAGATACAGCTAATATATTTCTTTGTCTTTTAAAAATATATTTGATGAGAGGTTAGGGCTAGAGGGTTTCAGATGAAATGTCAAGGTTCTTCACGTAGAAGTTTCAGGATAAAAGAGAATATATTTGTGGGTCTGACTTTGTAAAGTCTAAATATGACTGAGCAGATTCAAATTAAGGTTTTTAATCTGGCATTTGCTAAGAGTATAGGCTTTTCTTATAGTTCCAGCACTAGTACTTCTCTCCTTAAATATTTTGTTTGCAAGTACTGAACTACTTGATCCCAGCTTTTGAGTTTGTAAGGCTGTAGCTTCCCCCCTCCCCCCCAAGTGCAGTTGTAGTTGGAATGAAACAATCTTCTCTCAACTAAGGTATTTTTAAGGACTCAGCTCCTGAGGCTGCAGGTGCTGGGTTTGGGGGAAGCGGAAACACCGTCCCCCCAACTTAATGTAATTGAGAACAAGATAGTTGTGATTAAGTGCTATTGATACCAGCTCAAATGCACAGGTGGACTTAGACAAATTTCTTGTCTTATTATATTTCATTTTCTCTAGAAGTTGAAGTAATTCAAGCTAGCTTTCTAAGGCCCATTCAACTCTGACACTGTGATTTAAAGAAGATGGAAGTTGTTAGTCTGGATTAGTGTCGTCTGTTTGGAGGACCCAAAAATGAAACTTGGCTATAGTGAAAGGCTAATAGGGTTCATTGAGCACTGGTAACAGAAGGCACCATTTGCAGAAACTCCTGTGGGGATAGATTGAAGGAGCCCTCAGATGCTGAGACTGCCCCCTGGTGGGAGATGAGGTTCAGCACAAAGGCAGGAGGAGTGGCAAAATTGGCCCTTGACTGAATTTTCAGAAAGGACCTTGCATGTAGGCTAGACTCTTGAACCCATTTTCATGACTGAAGTTTGCTTCTCTACAGGCCCTGTTGGTCTCTACTGCTTCCCATCTAACTAGATCAGGCACAGCTTTCTGTGTGCAGCGTTTTTTTTAAATTTTTTAAAATATATTTTATTGATTTCAGAGAGGAAGAGAGAGGGGAGAGAGATGGAAACATCAGTGATGAGAGAGTCATTGATCGGCTGCCTCCTGCAAACCCCCTGACTGGGGATCAAGCCCGCAACCTGGGCATGTGCCCTGACCGGGAATCGAACCATGATCTCCTGGATCCTAGGTCAGTGCTCAACCGCTGAGCCACGCCTGGCCAGGCTAGATTCCATATTAATTTTGAAAAACCTGCACTTGGATTTGAATGAAACATCCAAGTATGGATCTTTCTCATTACTGATAATGGCCTTAAGTGCCATGAGGCTGTAGTGCCAAAGAGACTAAGTTGGTCTGTCTATCCTGGTTCCTCCTATCTTTGTGTCATTATAATTGGGTGGTTCTTCTAAAGCTTTATGTTTTTTCCCTAGACAAAACAATCTTTTTGGTTTCCTATTAGCACCTACTGCCAAACTTTTGGCTGCCTATGGCCTGATCTTTGCTTTCATGCTGTTCTTTATTCCCTGCAGCTTGTTTATGCTTAGGACCTGTGATTTAACCATTTGGTTCCATTAAAGACAGTAGCTGTATAAGAATCAAATGGGGATTTCAGGAAAGTAATGGCAGCTGGGTATGCCATTTTGCACTTGTTCCATCCATACCTTGTTCCCAGGCAGCTGGTTGCAGTCTGATGTTTAAGGCTGTGACATCCTTGGACTGAAAGCGTCTTCCCATCTCTCACTTGAGCAAGTGAGACTATTGCTGCCCAGTTACTGGTGACCACATATCTCTTAGAAGATAAGTAGTTTTTTAAAAAAGTGGAAAATGAGCAATTGGTCCCCTTGCCTCACTTTCCTCAGGTTGGCCCAAGGAGCATTGCTAGTTTAGGATTGTAGGAAAAGGTTGACAGCTATGCTTTCTTGTGAAAGATTCAAGCTGTCAGACCTTTTGCTTACCAAGGGATGGAAGACAGGCTGAGTAAACCATGCAGGCAGGGCCTTCAGTGGAGGTCCTGCTCCTTGTATTTCCACTCTATCCAGTCTGGCAGACTTAGAATACTGAGGAGGAAGAAATAGCTCATGTTATGGGTTTACACAGTCCTGGCCTTGTCATTTATTTAGCTTATTCTTGGGTTTAGGGGCAAGTCATTTAAGTTTTTTAAATCAGTTTTTATTGTGGTTTCATATACAGTGTATAACGTAATTTGCCATTTTAAGTGTATGATTTAGCTGCATTAATTACATTCACAGTGTTGTTTATACATCACCGCTATTTCCTGAACTTTTTCATAATCCTGAACAGGCTGTAACCATTAAGCAATAACTCCCCACTCCCCTCTCCCTCCAGCTCTTGGTCACTTCTACTTTGTCTATGAATTTGTCTATTCTAGATATTTCATGTAAGTGAAATGATATTTGTTCATTTGTGTCTGCTTTCTTTAGCATATTGTTTTCAAGGTTCATACATGTTGTAGCATGTATCAGACCCTCATTCTTTTTAAGGCTGAATAATTATTCCATTGTATGTATACCATATTTTGTGTATCCATTTGTTGATGGGTGCAGGGTTGTTTTCTACATTTTAGCTATTGTGACTAATGCTGTTAGAATATTGTCTGAGTCCTTGTCTCCAATTATTTTGGGGATGTGTGTGTGTGTATGTGTATGTGTGAGAGAGAGAAATTTCTGGGTCTTATTTAGCTTCTTGAGGAACTGCCAAGGTTTTCCATAGTAGCTGCACCATTTACATTCCCACCAGCAATACTAAGGGTTCTCTACATCCTTACCAAGACATAATTTTTTAAATTGTCACCCAAGGATATTCTTTCCATTGATTTTTCTTTTTCTTTTTTAGAGAAAGTGGAGGGGGAGGGAGGAGGAGGTGGGGAGAGAGAGAGAGAGAGAAACATTGATGTGTTGATTGTTTGTCTACCTCTTCCCAGTCGGGGAGAGTATTGAACCTGCAACCCGAGGTTTGTGCCCTTGACCGGGAGTGGAACCCGTGAACCTTAGGTCCATGGGCGGACGCTTTAACTTCTGAGCCAAACTGGCCAGGACCCAGCACTTTCTTTTTAGAAAATTTTTTATACTATAACCATCTTAGTGGGTGTGATAGTTCATTGTGATTTTAATTTGCATTTGTTGATGTTAAGCATATTTCCATGTGCTTTATTGACCATTTGTGTATCTTTGGGGAAATTTCTATTCCCCCCCCACTTTTTTTTTTTTTAGTATGTCCCTTGAGCTAAGAGTGGCATTTACACTTTTATGTTTTTATTTTTAAAATAATTTTTAGTTACTGATTTTAGAAAGAAGTGGGGGGAGGGGAGAGAGAGAAACACTGATTTGTTGTTCCACCTATTCATGCATCATTGGTTGATTTTTGAATGTGCCCTGACTGGGGATTGAACCCACAACCTTGGCATATCAGTATCAGGACAACACTATCCAACTGAGCTACCCGGCCAGGAATTTTAAAAAAAATTTTTCAGTTACAGTTAACATTTAATATTATTTTGTATTAGTTTCAGGTGTACAGCATAGTTGTTAGGTAATCTCATACTTTACAAAGTGTTTCCCCGATATTTCCAGTATCCACCTGGCACCATATATAGTTTTTACAATGTTATTGACCATATTCCCTATGCTTTGCACTCCATAACTATTTTGTAACTAGCAATTTGTACTTTTTACTTATTGATTGATTTTAGAGTGAGAGGAAGAGAGAGAGAAACATCGATTTGTTCCACTTATTTTATGCATTCATTTGTTGATTTCTTGTGTGTGCCCTGACGGGGGTTGGAATCTCAAACCATGGCACATCAGGAGGACGCTATAAACAACTGAGGTGGCAGGGCAATTTATTCTTACCCCTTCATCTTTCTCATCCAGTCCCCAACCCTTCTCCCCTCTGGCAACCATCAGTCTGTTCTCTGTATCTATGAGTCTTTCAGTTTCATTTATTTTGTTCTTTAGATTCTACATGTAAGTGAAATTGTATGGTATTTGTCTTTCTCTGACTGACTTATTCCACTTAGCATGATACCCTCTAGGGCCATTTATGCTGTCACAGATGGCAAGATTTCATTCTTTTTTATGGCTAATATTCCATTGTATTATGTACCACAACTTTGTTACCCACTCATCTATTGATGCTTTGCTCATTTTTGAACTGGGTTGTTTTTTGTGGTTGAGTTGCAGGAATTCTTCATACATTTTGGGTATAATCCCTCATCAGATATATCATTTGTGTTTTCTCCCATTCTGTGGCTTGTCTTCACTCTGTATAATGTTCTAAAAGTTCTTAATTTTTTTTTTAATTTAGTAAGTATTGAAAGACTTTATTTATTGATTTCAGAGAGAGGAGGGGAGAGGGGAGAGAGAGAAACATCAATAATGAGAGAGTTCCTCCTGCATGCCCCCTGCTGGGGATTGAGCCCACAACCCAGGCATGTGCCCTAACCGGGAATTGAACCGTGATCTGGATCCTAGGTCGACACTCAACCATTGAGCCACGCTCGGCCGGGCTAAAAGTTCTTAAATTTGATCAAGTCCAGTTTATCTGTTTTTTGTTGTTGTTTCTGCTTTTAGTATCATATCTAAGAATACATTTCCAAATCCAAGGTCATGAAGTTTTACCTCCCTGATCTTTCACACATATACAGAAAGCATAGCCTTCAACCTTTTCCTGCAGTCCTGAACCAGCTATGCTCCTTGGGCTACCTGAGGAAAGTGAGGCAAGGGGACCAATCACGGATTTTCCACTTCAAAGAGTTTATGGTTTTAGTCCTTATATTTAGGTCATTAATCCATTTTTTAAAATGGATTTTTTTTTTGAGAGAGAGAGAGAAACATCGATTTGTTGCTCTACTTATTTATGAATTCATTGGTTGATTCTTGTTGTGTGCCCTGACCGAGATCTAACCTGCAACCTTGGTGTATCAGGATGATACTCCAACAGAGCTACTCGGCCAGGGCAGTCATTGATCCATTTTTGAGTTATTTTTTGTAAGTTAAGAGTCCAGTGTCATTCCTGTGCATGTGGAAATTCAGCTGTTCCAGCGCCATTTTTTTTCTTGAAGAGCATTTAAGCATATTTTTAAAAAGATGTATTTGAAGCATTCATTAAATTAGAAAATATGAATACCTATTTACCTACCATCTACTGTTAACAAATCTTGCCTCACATGCTTTAGACACATTATTTTTAGAGCAGAGCATACAGCTGAAGCTGTTGCTTAGTTTTTGCTGAATGAATAAATTAGGTATAATAGTAATAGGGGTATGGTGAGGATAAAATTGCATGTTTGTTGTTAGCCTTGCACTGAAAGGCTGATCTTAGGCTGTAGATCAGGTTTTGTAGTGCTAGACTGTTTCAGGCTCTTTAGGGCTCAGATTTGGTTTTGAGGAATCCATCTGTCCATGGGAGTTCACCACTGACTGAGCAAATTATTAATTAGTGGTAACTTTTCTTTTGCAGTGTGCCCAGCTGGCTGGAAACCTGGCAGTGATACCATCAAGCCTGATGTCCAGAAGAGCAAAGAATATTTCGCTAAGCAGAAGTGAGCACTGGGCCATCACAGGGTCATGTGGCAGTGCACTGTCTTGAGAACAAAACCTGTCTTTTACTATTGTCATGCTTAAAACAAAGGTCTTAGACTTAGTCCAGATGTGGCCTTTTTTGTAGGGTTTGGGGAGTCAGCCTTTCTTCCTCTGGAGGAAATGGTCTGAACTTATTACGGAGGAGGCCCACTGATGTGTGCAGTCGTGGGGCATCACCTTTGATCTTTTGTAGTTTCTATTAAACTTGAACGGAGACCTTGTTGTTTCTTCATTTTAGGGTGCATTAGCCTTTGATTTACTACTCTTTGCTTTCCTTCCTGTGGGAAAGTGAGAAGTGAGCTTCCTCAGGGGAAGTGCAAGTAGACAAGACACAGGGAATGGAACTGAATCAGGGTGTTACATTTTGTTTCACTATATCTGAGAAGAGGAAGAGCAAGACCTGCTCTGGTGTTATCCAAGGTACTTAAGTTTATGTTAATAGGCTGCATTGTAGGTTAAGGTCCCAGTGACATTGATTACTTGGGCATTTACCCGTTACTCTAGAGGGAGGGCTGCATGAAAATATGAAGACTATGTTTTTTTTTAAATTTATTTATATTTTTATTGATTTCAGAGAGAGGAAGGGAAATGGAGAGATAGAAATATCAACGATGAGTCATTGATCGGCTGCCTCCTGCATGCCCCCTATTGGGGATGGAGCCCGAAACCCAGGCATGTGCCCTCAACCAGAATTGAACTGTGATCTGGTTCGTAGGTTGACTCCTCAACAACTAAGCTAGGCTGGCCTTTTTTAATTTTTTTTTTTTTTTAATCCTTACCCGAGGATATGTTTTTATTGATTTTTTAAAAAAAATTGATATTTAGAGAGAGGAGTGGGGAGAGAATCATCGATGTGATAGAGAAACATTGATCAGTTGCCTTTCTTAACGTGTCCCGAATGGGGACTGAACCTGCAATCTAGGTGTGTGCCCTGACTGGGAATGGAACCCAAGACCTTTTGGTATACATACAGGACAATGCCCCAACTGAGCCACCTGGCCTGGGCAAGATTGTCTTGTGATAAAAACCTGGTACTGGCCCTGTAAAAGATCAGAATTAGAGGCTCTAACTTTGGAACTGAAGTGGGGAGGGGAAGACACAGGGCTGGTGTTGGTAGGATAGAACCATCAGAATCAAAAGCACAGGGTTGAACACTTCTGACCTTCCCTGGGTTCTAGCCTTGATTTGAGGGTAGTGTTTTTTTTGGCCCTCATTCATACCATTGTCCTGAGGGAGGTAGTGGTTGGTGGGGGTTGGGGTTCCTCCTGGGCCCTTAAGGTTAGGGCTGATTCGGAACTGAGGATACTTCAATGTATCTATCATATGGTGCCCTTCCAGACACTTGTCTTTATCAAGCTATCCCAGCCTACCTATCCATCCAGTATTCAGACAGCAAGACATGAGCAGCAGTACAGAATCCCCAGGGCCTTCAAGCACAGCTGATAACACTGCAGTAAGCTAGGCACTGTTTCAGAAATGCTCTACATGAATTCAGTCCACACAACAACAGTGAGACATTATTTATTTATATCATTACTTAGAGAAGGCCTATGCAGAGAAATGGTTAACAGGCAGTAATTCCATATTCCAAGGCAGGTGGGAATTCAGGATCTGCCTTGGTCTTATTTTTCTATTGAAATATTAACTAATACTGATTTCTTGGTCTTTGATTTCTTGCTGTCTTGATCAAACTTCTCTGGGCCTTATTATCTTCATTGAAGATCTATAATTCTTTTATCAAAAGTAATCATCCTTTACCCAAAATAAAACCTTTACTTTGCCAAAGCAAAATAAGTCTTAGCAAGTACCATTGATATAAATAGTGGTCCCACAGGGGAGGGAGGGTATCACGGGCCAGGGGATGCGGGTGGTGAGGCCCTGGGGCTGAGCCATCCTCTGGCTCTGCTGGGATTCTGAGGCTTGGGTATGGCTGTGGTAAAGAGAAGCTCAGGGGATGCAGAGCTAGGCTCCTCTGAGGGTTGGGCCAAGCCCAGCAAGGCCCAGCGCTGGGCAGGTGGTGTGGAAAAGTAGGCCTTCTGCTCTTCTGAGTAGCGCTCCTGGGGTGTCACAGCATCCCGGTAAGCCCAGTCACGCCAATGAAAATTAAAGCTTTCAAGTAGGGCAATTCGGTCAGTTCTTGTTGGTACACAGTCGAGGGGTTTAGTGGGTGGCAGATCTGGCACCTGTATTCCTGGCAGCAGCACCACCCCTCGGATGGCAAACCAGCCCCCAAATTGGGGATGCATGCACACACCTGATATATGCTGGGGAGAGGGCAAAGAAAAGCAAGGTCATGGATGTCACCTTGGCACCACGTTCAACTACCATCACTGCAACTAGGCTTATTCATTTATTCTTATTCAATGGACACTGATTCCACATGTGAGCCTCTGTCATTGCTGTAGCTGGGTTCTCGCATTCCATCTGGGAAACCCTTTTCATGAGCTTACTCTGGCCATGAGGAAGGGTTTCTTAATCTGAGCCTCACCATTGATCAAATCACTGCTCTGTCCTTCATTCTGTAACAGTTTTACGAATAGACTAGGTTCTCTGACCTGATGTGTTCCCTGGCAGGACTCCAGAAAGCACATGGGACTGGACCCCTGGGCAGGGAACACCTTTTTTCCTGGACTGTTTCTATACACTTTACCCATGGGAGGTGGAAGAATGAGGCCTGACATTTTGATGGGACTTCACGATTTTCTTAGTCTCTAGTCATTCATACTTGCCCTCTGACCTGGGTCCCCCAGGGGTCAGCCTCTACATCCTGTCGTTGGTAGTAGTAAGCAGCCCCGGCCACATGGGCTGCCGTCTGGGCCAGAATCTTGGGGCGCCGGTTGGGGTGTACCTCGTAGTCAGCGATAACTTCCATCTGCAGCTCTGGGAGCCTCTGGGATGGAGGACAAGATGTTGGCTCCTTTTAGCATGACAGGAATCGTAACATCCTGTTAACAAGGTCCTGTCCTCGAAAGTCATGTTTGAAGGGAAAACAACCTTAAGCTTGGGGTGAGGGGGAGTCCAGTGTGAAGAAAATGATATTCTGTCCAGGAGGGCCCTTGGCCCATGTTTGAAGGTCTTGCTCAGAAACCCCCATTATGAGGAGTAACTTGGCTCTGCCCTCCAGAGTCCCAGTGTGGAGGACGACATGGGAGACCCAGTGTTTGTGTATATATGTAAGTATGTGCATGGGAGTGTGTGGTGGGGAAATACTGTTTTGTCCTCAAAAGGCCCCAAAGACAACATAAAGCTTCCAGGTCTAGGGCAAAGAGGTGAGAGATGCCTGGGGGATGTTGGGCTTATTCCTATTTCACTTGGAGGTCAAGGGAAATCTGGTCTGAGGTTCATATAGTTGCCCATCAGTGTAGGGTGAGACTGATTTCAGACCTGGGGGACTGCTAGAGGAAAGTGGCCGAACATGGATTGAGAAGGCAGAATGGGCAGAGATCACAATGTCAAGGCTGGCTTTAGGATATCATCCTACCTGGGAAGTGGCTCCTAACCCTAGGTAGGTCTAGATCCTGCATTGAGCTTGGAGGAGCTTGAAGCAGTTGCAGATTTGGAAGCGGGGGGGAGGATATGAACGTTGCTCACCTCTCTAACGCGGCCCAGATGGTAGGCCACACATTGGTCCACAGGGTCAGTCAGCGGTTTGAGGTGGCAGCTCTGCAGGAAGGGCTTGAGGGCCCGGTCAAACATGGCAGGTGTGCTGAGTACCAGGAAGGCCAGGGTAGGTCCTGGCAGGGGCAGGTGGAAGGCTGAAGGCAGGAGTGCATTGTACCATGCCACCTGGAACACAGAAAATACCTTAACATGGCATTCAAGGCCTTAAATATCTTGCTCCAGCCTCCATCTCATTCATTTAATCATTGCATTTCTATTGATGCTCTGTGATGTGTGTTTATGGGGGACCTGTGAATTTGACAGGGAGTTTAGAATAGAGAATTCATGAACAACTAGGAACAAAAAGAAATTGATTGTACTGTGATTAATGCAATGATGGCCAGGTGAAGGTCCACTGAAATTAGAAAACGCTTGGAAGCTGAGTCTTTAAGGCTGGGAGGGAAGTTGACAGGCTGATGTGAGGAGGAGAATATGGTGTGTATTCTAAATGGAGGTGACAGCATAAACAAAGACAGGCAAAAAGTACAGAGTATCTTTGGAGAATAGCAAATTGTCTAGTTTAATAGAAGTGAAGGGTCTGTAGAGGGAGAGAAGGCTGGAGAGATCAGTAGGAGTGAGATTGTGACTGGCCTTGAATACCAATTTAAGGAATATGGGTTTAATTTGGTAATGCAGGGCCACTGAAAATTTAAAGAGTAAAATGACATGATTAGTTTTTAGAAAGATCAATCTGGCTGGAGTGTGGAGGATGGATTGGAGGGAAAATGACAGCAAGGAGGCTATTTCAGTAAGTCCAAATGAGAAATGTCCTGGACCAGAGCATAGATGTGTTGGATGGAAGAGAATGGATTTGGGAGATTTAGGAGAGATTCCTAAAGGTCCTGGTGGCTGATGTGATGTGGGGGTGGGGAGGTGAGAGAAGTAGGAGCCTAGAATGACTAGCAGGGCCTCAGTATGTTCCAACTACCCAAGTCTACCTGACCCATGAGATAGGCATCTTTATTGTCCCCCATACCTGCTACCCACCACCTTTACTCAAGCTGTTCCTGATATTTGGGATTTACATGACCCTCCTTCCTTTCAATCTATCTTTTCATATAAAGTGCAACTCCCATTTTTTTCTGGAAAGCCCTCACTCTCAAAATGACCCAACCTACCCCTTCCTCTATATCCTCCTCCAGCACTGCTGTGGCCCACTCAGTGGAAGGGGTGAGAGTGGGTTGTCTCTTAAGCATGGGGCAAAGGGTTCAATCTGAGCTGATTTAGCTTTGTGTCCAAGTAAACAGCTCAGTGGAGGGGGCACTGGATAAGGAGGAAATGGAATTATGTAAACAAGGGGAGGTGGTGGTGCAAGATTTGTGTCAGTGGGGTGCAGAGTTTCTGTACTCAGCCCAGTGCTGGTGATTGGCAACATCATGAATTATCCTTCTGTTGGTGGATGGAACAAACCAGCCAATTGTTTGCTTGTTTAACATCAGGAATGCCCTTCCCTTCCCTTCTCAAATGACAAGTTCTAGCCATGCCAACTTTCCAGGACTTGCCCTCTCCTAACTCCTTCGGGAAGCTTCCAAAGTAACTGGGCCTTAAGCATGCCTTTCTTCCTGTAGATTATGTAAGTGACACTGCCACAAGGTTACTGGATCATATAGTGTCTCCCATTCATCAATCCAGCATTATATAGGGGTAAAAGGACAAACGTGCAACAACTCCCACCTACCCAAGCCCGCGTTGACATTCTGTCCCTATAGGTCAGATGCACACGGGACTAGAGGCGCTCGGGAAGAACCAAAAGGCTTTCGGGCCTCACGCCAGTAGCACCGAGGCCAATTATATACCTCACCCTAGCACCGGAAGAGGGATAAGCAAACCTGGAATGGGTAAACCTCGAATCCAAAGGGGCACAACGTGTCCTCAATCTTCTGCTTCAGCTCCGCGACTTGCGGCTCCATACTGCACGCTACACGCTCAGCTTGCTGGGGAATGGAGTCTCAAGGATAACCCGGACCGTTAATTTTCAGGGTAGCTTGGACTCCATTTCCCAGAAACTTGTGGGACCCCCTGCGGGACATGGTTGACTCGGCGCGATGCATCCTGGGATATGTAGTTCATTTGGTCCTTGGAAACAACCACAACAGAATCAGAAAGACTTAGTTTCCCGGCAAGCTTCACGGTGGGGGTATGCGTGCACGTATTATTGCCTCCAGGGAAACGTAGTTCTGGAGCCGCCTCCACGGGTTGTCTCCGCGAGAAGCGAACTCAGTTTCCCAAGTGGCGCTGCGGCAGCCAGTCCAAAGTTAGACTTTCCTGGCCTACTACTGAAAGTTTTGAGCCCTGCGGCGGCAGGAGTTTGGCTTGATGGCGCTAGTATCCTGTGTCTAGGGAGGTCTCGCCCAAGATTCTGCACCTTAAACTCCCTCCTGATATGTGCATATCAGGGTATCCCACTTTTCCCCCAGTTCCCCAAGAACGCGTCTCCCCTGACTAGTCCCGGAGGCGCAGTTTTGGTCTGATATTGCATCCCTACCCTTGGTATTCCCTTTCAATCTGACGTTGTGACTTTTCCTGGGCTGTGCGTCGGTTGTCCAGTGCTGGAGAGCAAGGGCACAAGACGCCGGGGACACAGACCCTCTGCCGCGGGCTATGAGTGAGAACCTGAGCTGGTCTGAGCAGCTCGATGCCCTTCTCAGTGCTACTGATGGAAATGTGGCCAGGATTAAGGTAAGGGGAAGTGAGGCGCCCGGTATGCGAGTGGGTTAAAGGACTCAGATCTCATTGAATATGCATGTGTTTCTTTTGTAGCAGCGGTTGTATCCCCTTGGCATTTCTGCTGCAGGTAAGTATTGTCCCTTTTTCTAACCCCTTTCAGGATCTCTAATCCCTCTTCAGGAAGATCTCTCATGGTCTTCCTTTTCCAGTGCCTGTACCATCCATTATTCCTTCCAAGTGTCCAACTATTTCTTTTCCTGAATAAACATCTGTCCCTCCTTACTGCCCCCCACGCCCTGCCCACCCAAGTCTTGCACTTGTCCCCTCTTTATTTCTCAGCAGGAGACCTGACTGGGACCTGGATTTCCCCTCGTCATTTGCTTCCCCAATCAGGAGCCCAAACTCAACAGCCTTGGGCTCTAGAGACTCCTACTGTTCCAGAGAGGCTGAGTTGGGCTGAGGCCCATAGGGCATCTTCTCTCTGGGATGAAGTTACTATTCTTAGATCCCAGCTTCGATCCCAGGCTCAGGTGAGGCTAGGAATCCTAGGTGTGTATGTGTGGTGTTTGTGTGAGACAAGGATGCCAGGAGTTGGGGAAGTCCCTTCCACAGTAGCTCATGTGGTTTTCTGCCTGGGTAGGTGACTGAGGCACTAAGACAAGCTGTGCATGGCCTGCTGGAAGAGCAAGAGCAGCAGAAGTACCAAATCGGTGCCCTGGAAGGTATCTGGCCAGTTCTTTTCTTCATACACAAAGCCTCATACATATGCAAACAATTTTGTTGCAGACCTGTTGTTGTGTCCATTTGTCTCATGTGAAGCTCTTAGAGGGGTTGACCCCCCCCCCCAACTTGTCCTATTATAGCATCACTAAGATTACTGCAGGCGGGCCCAGAGCGGAAGGCCCTTCTTCTGGAGAAACGCCTGGACAGGCTGAGAAGGGAACTGTGGGGCATTCGAAGTCAGGTGCAGGAACAGGCCCAAACCCAAATACAAGCAGGACCACAGAAGTGCAGTGCTACCAGTGGCCTTCATCAAGAGCTGCAGAATGAGTAAGTGATGACAGGACTTCTTCTGGCCTTTGAACTCCACGTACTCAGGTAGCCTCCTCTGGGCTTCTTGATTCGCTCCTTAGAATGACATTGCTGTCATCCCTACAGGAGGCAGCTGCTGTGGGAGGAGTCAGAGGTTCTGAGGGAGGAACTGAAGTTGCTGCGGGACCAGCTGAGTGAGTCAAAGACTGAGGGAGGGTATGAGTTCACCTGTCCCCTTTCCTGGAAAGCCTTGTTCTCCCAGTAAGTGGCCATAGCTCTCACTGCTTGAGCTACAAAGAAGTCTGGGCAAATATTTTGTCTTGCCTCCAATGGTGTGAGTCTATTCTCCCTAGTCAGTTTGGAAGCTTCCTATCAGCTGGACCAGAATGCTTCTATCCCAATTTAACCAGAGTGGGCACAAGGCAGGGAGGAGGAAGGAAAGACGTTGGAGAACAACCTTCTTACATTTGTCTTATCTGCAGCTCAGCATCAGGAGCTGATGCTGAAACAGATGGCTGAGGGGCGGCAAGCTCAGGTCCGCAGCTGGAAGGTAGGACCGAGATTGGACCTATCCCTTCAAATCTGTTGAGGCCCTCTCCTTTTTCTGTCCTGTTCTGCAGGCAGGCCAGGATACTCTCTCCCATCTCTCTCTCTCTTCCCTGTGATGACTCTACCTCTCTTCAAAGCTCTTCTTCCCAAGCCATCTGCTCCAGGTCATGAGAAACTGTCCTTGCCCACTTGAGGGTTTCAAGTGTGCTGAAGAGGCCAATTATGGGGAGGGGGGTTTCTCCTGGAGAGGGAGAGTTTGGTTCTACCTGGGACCATAATCTGGCAGATGTTGGAGCAGTTGCAGAGTGGCCAGGAGGGCAAGGAGGCTGCCAGGACAGACGCCCAGGATGCCCGGCGGGAGCATGACCTCAGGTCAGGGTGTGTGGGTGCCTATGGCAATGGAAGGGATTTGTCTTACAGAGGCCAGACATTAGGGGCCAAAGTACAGCTATCCTATATTTGACGTGGGCTGACGGGGACAGTATGAGTATCTGGGTTACAGCGCATAAGGGCAGTACTGGGCATTCTTTACTTGACATGGAGTCACTGAGGTATCTTTACATGTTTGGAAGATAAAGGGGGAGTTCTGGCCTCAGGAAGGAGGACAGTTCTGTGCTGGAACGGCCCCCTTGATCCACCATCACCATTTCTGCCTCTGATTTTGCTTCTCTTTCCAGGACCTCCATTCATGTCCTCCAGTCTAAGCTACCCCTGGCTACCACGTTCGCCATGTCTGTCTCTTCACCTAGCTCTGAAGTCAGTCGTCAGGACAGTAGTGGTAGCTGGGAACTTTTAAGGAAGCTAGATGAGGGTAAGGGCAGGGATCCCAGTTCTGGGGGAGGCTGAATCTGAATGGTGCTCTAATGCCACCTGCCTAATCGTTTGGCACTGGGTAGAATGGAGTCTCTGCCTCTTTCTTCGTGAATCCATCGACCTCTGTTGCTACTTATCCCAAGTCAGGCCTGCATGTCCCCGTTAGCCAGGCCCAGGGCCTAGTTCTGTGTATCACAGTGCTGGCTGATGGTTTGTTCTCTCTTTCCTTTCTCCTCTTAGATCTCCAGAAGAGCACCCTTTCTAACCTGAAACCCAGCAACTTTAAGCTCCACGTCCAGAGCCTTGAGCAGAAGGACCTGTCCTTTAATGGCCCCAAGATACTCCTGAGTGACCTGTAAGGACTTGTAAGAGTCGTAGGATAAAGTCTTCTTTACTCACCTTCCCTTCCAAGGCCCTGTTTTTGGGCTTATTGCCCCTACTCTCTTGATCTAGCTGGTATCTGCCCTTCCTGTCACTGCCTGCCCATCTGCCCACCAACTGCAGTAAAACGGTTTAACCTTCCCTGATGTGTTTCCTGTGAATCAGAACCCACATGGGATAGACTCAGCTGTACCTTTTCTTTCTTTTCTTTTTTTAAAAATCCTCAACCGAGGATATTTTTTCCATTGCTTTTTCAGAGAGAGTGGAAGGGAGAGAGAAAGAGGAAGAAACATCGATGTGAGAGAGAAACATCGATTGGTTGTTCCCTGCATGAGCCCCAACCAGGGCCGGGGATTGAGCCTGCAACCGAGGCATGTGCCCTTGGCCAGAATCGAACCCCAGACAGCTGTACCTTTTCTTCCTCCTGTAATGTGACTGCTTCCTGCCCCATCTCTCTCTTTCTGAAATGCAAGTTCATAGACATTTATAGCTGTACCTTCTGAGTTCAAACCCTGTGCTCAGTGGAATTTGGAAGGAAGTGGGAGCTCCCATTCCAGTGTGTAGAATGAGGTAGGACAATGCTCTGGGGCAGTACTGCTGTGGGGATGCAGAGGAGGACAAGGCATTATGGTGGGCCCTGGACCTGCAAGAGGAGGCTTTTTTCCCTTGTTTCCAGTTTCTGCTCTTGAGGCTTACTCTAGCCCTTCCACACCTCCTCATCCTTAACAGCCCAGCCTACACTTCTAGCAGTCTACTCCCTGGTCTCTCTTTCAGTCTCTCTGCGTCTAATCCAGTGGGTTTCAGAATTTTTTGACTGTGACCTCCAGTAAGAAATAGGTTACATTATAGCTTAGTAAGTACAAATTTATATATTTATTAACTGAAACAAATTTAATGATTCAATACTTAGGTATACTAGGAGTGATGCATTCTGATATTTCCTGTTAAATTAAAAAAAATGCCTTGTGGCTATTGGTTCTGATCCTTCCACCATTTGGTTGCTCTCTGGAAAATATATCTTTCTAGGTAGACTTAGGGAAGTATTTACTTTCTCCTTACCTGGGCTTTGTGTTTTAGAGAGTGCAGTCCAAGATTTCCTTAATAGCATCTCGTTGAGTTATCATGAGATCTCTTCCACTGCTAAATATAGCCAAAAGATAATGCTGTTCATCCGCCAAATGGATGTTTATTGAGCATAATACATACTAGTTCTGGTAGCTAAGATGTGCAGTGGGATCATGTAAAGGTTCCACCTCTTAGCTCAGTCCAGCTGGGAAGAGGAGAGAGTTGTCTGAAATGAAAGCATCATAAAAGGCTGATGGCAGAAACTGCTTCCTTTATGGGGTGTATGCAAGGCCGTGGCATAACTAGCAGACAGGTCATGAAGAGTGGCCTTTGACACCTGAATAAGACACTCCTCAGCATTAGGGAGATTGCTGAGAGTGGAATGCTAGAGATCAGGCCTGGGTCAAACAGAACCTGTTCAAAAAAACAAAACCAAAAAACTTCCCATCAAGGCTCATCTTCCTGCTGAACCAGGTGTAAGGAACCCCTAATTTTAAATATTTTACTGGTCAGGTGATACATATGGCATGGTGGCATTATTCAATTAATTGTACTTGCTACCAGTTCTCTACTTATTTATCAACTACTTTGCATCAGGCTCTGTGGGAGACAGGTTTGCCAGGGTGCTAGAGCTCTAACAGCAGAAACATTTAATAGCTATGTGGAACAGTGGTATTTGAACTGTCACTAGGTGGCAGCACATGACTTATTTCCAGAAAAATAATACAGAAAAGGCTTTGGGCCAAGGTGACTGGGCTAGGGTGCTCTCTTTTCTTCCTTCAGAGATCCTGTGAGCCAGCAATTAATCTTCCCAAAACAATGTCCTGTTAAGGCTTCTCTTCTGCTCAGGAATCTTTTATACACAGTATAAAAAAGAAAGGACAAATTTGGCATTGAAGCCCAACCCACATTTAACCTCTTATCTTTCCATTTTTATTTTCTACTACACATCTTTTAAAAACATTACTGTACTCCAACTACAGTAGTTTCCTCTTATCCATGGGGAATATGTTCTAAGATCCCGAGTGGATGCCTGAAACCACGGAGAATAACAGACTCTATATATACTGTTTTTTCCTATACATACATACTTATAATAAAGTTTAATTTATAAATTAGGCACAGTAAGGGATTAACAACTAATAAAGTAGAATGATAATGTACTGTAATTAAAATTATGTGGTCTCTTAAAATATCTTATTGTACTGTACTCACCCTTTTTGTGATGTGAGATGATAAAATGCCTATGTGAAGAGATGACATGAGGTGAATGAGACATTATTCAGGGCTATTTGAAAAACAAAGCAAGCACCGATACTACAACAGTTATAACAAGCGGGTGGGCAGCATATGCAGCATGGATATGCTGGACAAAGGGACAATTCATATTCCAGGAGGGATATAGCGGGACTACACAAGATTTCATCACACTATTCAGGATGGCTGCAATTTAAAATTATGAATTGTTTATTTCTGGAATTTTCCATTTAATATTTTCAGACCACAGTTTACCAAGGGGTAAGTGAAACCACAGAAAGTGAAACTGAGGATACTACTGTATTCAAATTCCACTCATCTGTCAAGGCACTTGACAGCAGGTCCAGGAGACAAGTCTAAATACATAGGAAAGGTGGATTTCTAAACCCAGGGAATGCTGGTGCAAGAAGGCCCATTTCCCACTGTTCTTTGCCTGCTCTTGCCCTGGAAGCCCTAGTCCTCTTCCAGTCTGCTCAGGCATAAGATTATGAGTGCCCAAGGTCCAGGCATATGTAAAGCATGAAGAAATATGTTCTTGTTGAACAGCTGGGTAAAATTTTAGTCTCTACCCAGCTGTTTCAAAATCCTCAAGTCAACTCAAGTGTTACCTCCTCCAAGAGGCCTTCACCAGAATTAGTCTACCTAGATGAATTGCTCCCTACCTAGGTGAATTGTTTAACCCTGCCCGCTGCTGTTACTATCTCAAGTCGTTAACACAATAATTGTTTATGTCACCCTCCCCCACTGAGACCTGGAAGGACGCTGCGTTCACTAGACTTTTCCACAAACCGTCTTACTGAGTTACACCTTCACCAGCCCAAAAGCCGCGCCTCTCGAATCCATTTTCCTTTGCGTTTGTCAATTACCACTCGCTTATGTGTTTAGAATTTTGATTGGTCCATTTTCTGTTTACTGTCCCACCTTCGGCAAGGCTCTAGGACTGCGGTACCCCCCAGGTGTATTCCCTCAGCCTCGGTTTCCTTCTTTCCAGCACACTGCCTCTTATGTTTTTACCTCCACTTCCTTCCTATTGGTTCCCTTCGTCCTCCGAGTTGGCGCCTAGGGCTGTTGATTGGCTTTTCTGGACGCCCATTGTGCCCATTTCATACCACGTGGCACTCCTGACCCTAATTGGGCAATCCCACCAGCTCGTTGATTAACGCTTGACTACTGATTGGCTGCTATGAGGGAGGGCTTGAGGAAAGGGCGTGACCCGTTGATGCTCCGCCCCCAACTCTGACCGGCCGGGCACTCGTTTCAGTTGCTGGCGGCTGGGGAGCCCAGCGGATCTCCCGTCTGCGTTCTGTGCCTCGCGGGCCCGTTCATCCTGGCCCCGCCAGACAGGCGGGGGGAGCGGCCCGGACTGCGGGGCCATGGCAGTAGACTCCTCGTCCTCCGCCGCTGCTAGCCCCGCGGAATCGCAGGCTTCTGCGCGAAGGACCCCCACCGCCTCTGCGGGCTAAGAGCCGCTGCCGCCTCCGAGCTGCGAGGGCTACTATGCTCCCTCTTTGCCGCCGCTTCCCCCTCCCGCTCGCGCAGGCACCCCTCTGGCTGCTCAGTCCCGCCTCAGGTAACGCCGAGAGAGCGCATGAGGCTCAAATCCGGGGCACCCCGGCCCGCGCGCGCGGCTGCTACACAGCCTCGTCTCCGGAGCACTGGCGCTTGCGTCGCTCGACACCGACGGGACCTCTTCGCTTCCCAGAGGTGCCCCTCTCAGCTCTTGGGGATACTCCTCGACCCCTTCCCCTCCCCTTTTCACCTCCCTTAAGGTCCCAGGACAGCTCCCACCCCCACCCCCTCACTCCCACAGCCTCGGAGGCCTGGAACCCATTAGAAGTTCCTTCGTGTCATGGACCTGGTCCCTGACTCCTCGCAGGGACTTGCCGCACTTCAGAAACTCTTTCATTTCCTCAGAAAACTGTTTCTGAGACCTCCAGCTCCACACCGAGAGCCTCCTCCTCTCAGTTACACCCTCCTCTCTCAGAGATCTGGTCTCCCTCTCTTCCCTCAAACGTACTCTTCCCTTGAAAACACCCCCTTCTGCCCTGAAAGACCCTTCCCTCCCCTCAGACACTACTGCCTCCCTCTCTTTTCTCCGTCATCCCTCTTCGCATCCCTCCTTTCCCCTCCTCTGCCTTTTCCCTTCACTTTGAAGACTCTGGACTTAGCCAGCATTCAGATTTAGCTAGAATAAAACTCAGGTTTGTCTGATTTTAAAACCTTTCAATTGATACCTCTGGGAAAACCTTGCTGAAGAATTTGGCCTTTATTCCTTAGGTTTGGGGAGCCATTGCAGGTTTTGTAAGCAACGAGTTTGGTACGATTATCTCTGATGAACATGCAGAGGAAGAATTGAGAGTGAAGACGGTGTGGAGGCAGAAAGCCTAAGAAGGCAGGAAGCTAGGGTGCTAATCCAGATCAGAGGGAATAAACTGGAATGATGGTAGGAAGGCGAAGAGAATGGCAGGCAGTTCTGTGAGGCTTCAAAACAAAGTTGACAGTTGGGAGGTTTCTGACTTGGCTGATGGGGTGGATCGAAGTGGGGAACAGAAATAACTCTGAGGGAAGGTAACGCATTTGGTTCTGGACAAGTTCAGTTTGAGGTGTTTTTCAGATATTACTGTGTGTAGCTGGAAATTTTGGTCTGAAGATTGGGAGGAAGGTTAGAACTGAATACATAAATATGAGGGATCAGCAGAGACTTATATGGGTGATATTTGAAGCCTTAGTATGGATGGTAATACTGAAAGAAGAGAAGGGCTGTGGACCACAAGGAACATTATTGTTTGAAGGGTAATAGACACTGAAAAAGAGAGTTTAAAGGAATGGGACGAGAACTGGAGCAGAATGGCGTTATAACAGAAGCCAAAGGAGGAGTTTCAAGGAGGGAGGGAGTGAGCAGTGTCAGGTGCTCCAGAGGTCAAGTAGAATGAGGATTGGGAAGAAACCGCTGAATTTTGCAATTAAATCACTTGTTTCCTTTGAAAGACCCTTTAGATAGCATGATGACGGCAATAATAGCAGTAGCCAGATCATGGTAGATCGAGGAGTAAATGGGAGGCAGTGAGTAAAGAATCCCAGCTTGGACGCTCAGGGTCCATCATATTTCCCACACTGTCACTAGTAGTGTAAAGTCACTCTGCTTTTTTTCTTTTCTTGTAAATGCCAATTCTGGATTAACCAATTCTTTCAACAAGTGTAGGTTGTGAAGGAGAGCCGATGGTAGTGAAACATCTTTACTGAGAATATATTATATGCCAGGTGCCATGAAGATACTTTATAGATCACAACAGCCTTGTGATTTAGGAAGCAGTCAGTATCCCTCTTACGGTTGGGAAGACTATAGGCAAGAATTTGAACAAGATCTGCCTATCTCTGAAACCTGTGTTCTTTCCACTATGGCACATGTTTATTTTTCTTCTTAGTATGGGCGAAACAGTTTTGTAAGTTGAGGGGAAATTTACCTAGGATAAATTTCATCTTTGACATCAAAAGGATCGAAGTCAAGGTGGACAATGATGTGATAGAAGGGAAAGAAGGTGAGGGAATTTGATGGCCTTATTTTCTTGATGTGATCAGTTATCTGTGAAGTCAGTTTTCTCTGGAGACGGAATGAACTATGGTGAGTTTTTGTGATTTGAGTATTACAGTTATGACCATGGAAATCTTCAGNATCATGGAACAGAATTGTGGGAGTCAATGTGATAAAATGCAAAATCTCATGTTAAACAAACTTAGACTCAAATGCAGGCTCCACCACATTCTGTGTGGCCGTAGGCAAATAATATAACTCTCTGAACCTCAATCTCCTCATCAATAAAACAGGACTAAGCGTGAGTGGGGCCCCGTAGATGCCTGGACCAGCCATCAGAACATGGACACCTACCACAGCCTGCTGTTTAAGTGAGGACCAGTCCCTACGCAGGGTGGCCTAGAGGGGGCGGCCCTTTCTGTTTGGCCCCCTTTCTGTTCTAAACACTTTCTTGACTCTGGGATCCAGCATCATGTCTACTAAAGTAAAACGTCCGCTTGTTTCAAGAAGGGAAATGTTTATGGTTCCTCTGCATAGAGTGATTTAAAAAAAAAAAAAAAAAAAGATTGCTGACCACATTAAAATTAGAAATAATCTATTTGTAATAGGGCTCAGTAGTATGGATTTTACACTTTCTCCAGCAGCCTAAGAGCAGGAGGGCAAAAAAGATGGTTGGGTTAATCCAGAATTGGAATTTACAAGGAAAAAAAAGGCAGAGTGACTTTACACTACTAGCGATAGTATGGGAGATATGATGGACCCTGAGGGTCCAAGCTGGGATTCTAAGAAGTAAAACCTTCAGAGGGACTGGTGTGCTTAGAGAATAAGGACCCAAACAGAACTGTGATCAAAGATGTTTTCTATGCACTACAGAATGGGAAAGCTGAGAATTCAGTATTTCAAGGTAAAAACAAAAACGGCGTAACTGTGTCAGTGCTGGTGAAGGGGAATGGAAGTGTAGTTTATTGAAGTAGTGGGAGGGTAAGGGGCTAAATATGTTGAATATGTCATCAGTATGAGTGTCATAGTGGCCCAGTATGATAGCAGGAAATGGAACAGAGGAGATACTGGGTCCTATAGGTGGGGCTGGTCAGAACTGAAGGACTCAGAATTGCGTTGGACGTTCCCTTGGCACTTGTTAGAAAGCAGTACTAGGTGGTACAGATGTTTGTATGTGAATTAATGTCGAGATCCTCAGAGATTTGGTGCCCTGGGTATATGATGTATTATTCTCTTATACAGATGTATGTTTGGTATAGTTTCAAACATAAATCCTTTGCGATTTGGCATATGATGGGCCTGTTTAATTGTGTTTAAAAGTATATGTTTTGGGAGGCTACGCTATGGACTCGCCACCCAAGGATCCCCACTAACATTTTGTATTGATGCTAATTGTAAACAGAAAATTACATACTTACATGTACTCATTCCCTGTCTTATTTGTAGTAGAAAGCTGACTTGCTTTAATGCTTTTTTTCCCTATGTGAAAGTGTTTATAGATATGTTCTTAGTGTCGTACACTTCGTAAAAGTGTAGACGTTTTCTTAGTGTCGTACACTTTGTTGTTCTGTCACATGAATGTTGTGTTGGAATTTGAAACCTGTGATAAGGGCTTTTGTAAGAATTTCATCTCCTTTCAGTAAATGAAGCCCAATCATTACATAGCGTAGCGTGTGTGATAGTGAATGTTTTAGACGAACAATGAGTATCATACTATTTTTTAAGTCATTGTATGGAGATGACTTCAATGTGGTCTCACTAGTGTTATTTTTGCTGAGCATTCAGAGGAGTGGTTGTTTCAGAAAAAACAAAAGCCTACTGATGATATTTTTTAAGTCTCCCATTTCTGAAAATTTCAGAAAGGCAGAGTCACACGAGGAAAAACAATGGAATCCTAGGTATAATCAACCCTTGTTAGCTATATGATTGTAGACAAGTTTCTTATCCTTTGTGAGCTTTAGTTGTTTTTTTTTAAAATTTAATCTTTGGCTAAGTAACACATTCAAATGGTTAAATTAATGTTTGCATATTTATGTTTTATGTAAAAGTGTCACTCCTATGCCTATCCCCTATCCACCTAGTTCCATGCCCGTTTCCAACTACTCTTACTAGTTTCTTTATATTCTTTCAGACTTTCTTTAGACAAATGCTTACATATTATATTTTTTCCATTTCATTCAAACGTTAACTCATGGTTCCCCACTGTTCTGTACCTTCTCCCTCCCTCACCCCCATACTGTTTTTTCACTTAATATATCTTAGAAATCTTTCCAGATCAATATATAGAGAGTTTCTGCTTTATAAAATAACAAAACACCTGCACAGTATTCCACTAAATGGATGTATAATAATTTAACTATTTCCTTATTGTTGGACATTTGTGTTGCTTCCAGTCTTTTGATATAAGCAACTTCATAATGAAGACCCTTGAACAAATGTCATTTTACATGTGTGCAAGAGTATTTGTGGGAGAAATTTGCAGAAAGTGGGATTACTAAGTCAGAGGTTTTATATAACTATGAAAAACATTGCCAAGTTGTTTTCCTTAGTGATTGTTCCAATATACATTGCCTGTACACTCAACATTAGCTGTATCACAGCTAATACTTATATGATATCTACTATGTGCCAGATACTATTCTAAGTGCTTTATATAATTACCTCATTTAATCTTAGTAACATCCCTTTGAGGTAGGTATTATTATTATCTCCACTTTTCAGATGAATAATTGAGGAATAGAGAATTTAAGTGACTTACCTAAATTGCACAGCTAATGTGGCAGAAATTAAACTTAAGCATTTTATCTCTAGGATTGGTGTTGTTAATATTATGCTTTTCTGTTATCAAACCTGAAGTTTTGCCAATCTGATAGGAAAGAAATGATACCTCAGAGTGGTTTTAAAAAATTATATTAAGGTTAACCATCTTTTCTGTAAATTATCTGTTTAAATTCTTTACCTATTTTTCTGTTGGGTCATAGGTCTCTTTTCCTATTGATTTCTAGGTCTCTCTCTCTTTATATGTGATATATAAATAT